TGGCTCTCACTTGTATCCAAGATGTCATACATTTAACAATTTTCAAAGCAATTTGTGAATTCTGTGATGTAGTTATACTTTCTTTAAGAAATAAACAAACTAAATTTGAATTTGCTCTTAGTTCATTTTTAATTTCTTCTCTACGGTTCTCGCCTAACTTCAGGTTTGTTGAGTCAATTTCTTGAGGTAATACAGTCAATATTTCCAGCAATGCAAATTCATTTTTGTGTGAAAATAACTTAATGAGATCACTAACACAACTTTGCCATGATTGCATTTGTAGAGCTAAATCAGCAAGTGCTAGAGAAAGTTGCGTGAGAATAGCATTACTCGTACCAGATGAAGCATTTTCTAAATGTGCGATTAGGGAATCTCTTAGAGATACGACAGCCTCTGAGGGCAATTCTGAGAGGTTATGTTGTACTTTAGATCGCATTGTTTGCGCAGCGAAATAGCAGGACTGTTCATCTTTTTTCTGTTGTAAGAGTTGATCTGCTATTTTCCAGGAGTGTATCTAAAAAAACAACACGTAAACAATATGTTAATAACTCGTCTTTAAGTACTTCAACTTAGCTTTTTATAAGCAGTTTTTTAGTGAATACAATACAATTTTGGTTATTGACTTACAGATTTTTGAACATCTCCGAGCCAAATAGAAGCTTTTTCCTTTTCATTTGCATTGGGGTTATCATATAAAGCACTGATAGCTTGGTAAACAGTGTCCATTGACGGAGCCTCCATAGTAACAGTGATACAGTGAGTCGAGAGGTAATCTCAACGTTTTTCTTTTAAAACATGCAAACTACTTTTTATCATATTAACACTTCAGTTAAAACGAAAGAAGCAAAAATTAAACAAGCAACGTCAAACGAATTTGTAAAACCACATTTATTAGGGATGTTACTAATCTAAGCTTCTAAGAATGCCATGTTGATCCGATATCGGTAAATTTAAAAATCGATTGTTTGGGGTTGTGGAAGCGATTTTTAGATCGGTTTGAAACATATCGAATTCTCTCAAATGATTCATCATTGTAAATATGTACATGTGAATGGATAGCCGCATCATTAAATAATCTTTATTCTTATATTTACGAGAATACTACATATTGAATAATTTGAGTAAAGTTAAGAACTCGAACGAACAGGTATTAAAAATAAGTAAATTAAACGCGATAAAATTCGTAAAACAGTTTTATTTTATTGATTAATTTTGAATAAGATAAGGATGAGTCGCTCGCGTCCGTAGGCTCCGACCACCTAACCTTAGGCCCACCCTACACGTGTCCCCCGGGTGGTGCTAAACGAGCGACAAAGCCGAAAAAATAGACTCGGCTCCTCGCCGTATGGTAGCGGCGTAAAATCTACCACCACCCCTTGTTCGAATGACTCAGGAAATAAAAGAAATGGCCCCGAGTTCCCGGCGCCCCTTAAATGGGGCAGGGGTGCGAAGAATCTCCGGGAGAAAAACCGGCGACGAGGTTCGCCACCCGTCACGTTCTGTCTCCCGGAGGGGCGAAAAGTGGATTGCGGAAACCCGTCTGGCTACGCTGAATGTATGTGGAGGAATGAATGATAAGATGGATGAAGTATGCGAAATGATGAATGACAGAGGAATAGATGTGTTATGTGTGAATGAGACGAAACGAAAGGGAAAGGATGCCACTGCACATGGCACGTATACCGCGTATTGGTCTGGTGTAGGCGAGACCGAACGGGCGTGCCAGGGAGTCGGTTTCATCCTTTCAGAAAGAATGGGTCAATGTGTGAAAGAGTATGAATGTGTAAGCCCGAGACTGCTATGGATACGAATGAAAGTGGGCTTAAAGAAGCTGTTCCTGATAGGGGTGTACGCCCCAGACATGTCTAAGCCCGCTTACATTCGAGAGCAGTTTTGGGACATGGTAAGGATGGTGTTGACAAAATGTAAGGAAAATGAAAATATTATTATGTTAGGAGACTTTAATGGAAGGGTTGGGGTGAAGAGGTCTGGTTATGAAAGGATATTGGGAACGTTTGGTGATGAAAGTATAAATGAGAATGGTGAAGACCTCCTCACCGTATGTGCGGAAAAGAATCTTTTTGTGACGAATACTTTTTTTCGTCATAAGAAGATTCACATGTATACATGGGAAAGAGGTGATGATAGAAGCATGATAGATTTCGTAATTGTGGATGAAAGAATGAGGAGCGCAGTCGTAGATACAAGGGTTTACCGGGGGGTCCAACGTAGGGACGGATCATTACTTGGTCTTATGTCGAATTAATGGTCTTTTCAAGCGTTGGCGGCATCGGACATCTGTGTCTACCACTGCGTTACAGCGTATAAGAATAGAGAAGTTACAAGATGAAGATGTGAAAGAGAAGTATAAATGTAGACTGAGAGAAAATATTAGATGTTTGAATGAGTTGTGTATGAATGATTTAGACTTGAAGACTGTGTGGGATAATATTAAGAAAGGTTTGGTGGATACCGCCACCGAAGTATGTGGTGTAAGTAAAAGAACAAATGAAAGGAAAAGTAATACGTTGTGGTGGGATGATGAGGTACGGGTGGAAGTTGAATCAAAGAAGAAAGCATGGTTAGATTTACTAGCAACCAAAGCTGGTAATTCTTCTGGTATGAATGATGAGATTGAAAGAAAAAGGCAGAATTTAGACGTCTAAATAAGAGAGTAAAAGAAGTTGTTGAAAGGAAAAAGAAAGAAAGAATGGATAAGAATGATAGAAGGATATCTGATAATTTCCAGGCTAACATAAAAATGTTCTGGAAACTCGTAAGAACTGCCAGGGGGAAATACAAAACAGCCTATAATAAATGCTATAAGAGACGAGAATGGATGTATTCTGAATGATGAAGTTTCGAATTTAAACAGATGGAAGGAATACTTTGAAAGCGTGTTTATGAGTGAAGAGTCGTATGAATTAAATGAACTAGAAATTCCGAAAGAAGTGGAAAGGGGTATGGAGATAAGTGTAGATGAAATAATGAAAGCAATGAAAAGCATGAAAGCAGGTAAGGCAGCTGGATATGATAGAGTATCACTCGAGATGCTAAGGGCTGGAGAGGGAGTGGTGGCAGGCCTGCTGTACACCTTGTTTAATTTATGTTGGGAATTAAAACGGGTACCGGATGACTGGTGTAAAGCAGTTATAGTACCAATATATAAAGGAAAAGGGTCACAGCAGGACTGCAAAAACTACCGCGGTATCAGCTTGCTTAGTATTGTGGGTAAACTGTATGCTAAGGTGTTAATTGAAAGAGTTATGAAAGAAACTGATGGAAAAATTTGGGATGTGCAAGCGGGTTTTAGAAAGGGAATGGGGTGCACAGATCAAGTCTTTTCCATGCGCATGATTGCGGAGAAGTTTTTGGCCAAAAACCAGAAAGTTTTTTGTGCGTTCATGGACTTGGAAAAGGCTTATGACAGAGTGGACAGGAATGTGTTATGGCAAACACTGAACTCATATGGGTTGAGCGCTGGTTTGATACAGGCATTAGGGTCTCTTTATAGGGACTCTAGTGCTTGTGTCAGGATCAATGGGGTCTACTCGGACTGGTTTGGCATCCAAAAAGGTGTCAGACAGGGCTGTGTAGCTTCCCCTTGGCTGTTCAACCTATTTATGGACCGGTGTTTGCAAACTTTGAAAGATGAAGAATGTGGTTTAAGAATGGGCGAGTTAACCGTCAAATGCCTTTTGTATGCCGATGATCAAGTCATATTTGCGTCATCAGCGGCTGAGTTGCAAATGATGGTTACATTAATGAACTGGGAATTAAAAGAAAGGGGAATGAAAGTGAACGCAAGTAAGACGAAAGTGATGGTTTTTGAAAGAGAAGAAAGCAAAACGGTATGTGAAATAAGAATAGAAGGAGAGTTAATTGAGCAAGTGGATGAGTTTGTGTTTTTGGGATGTGTATTTAGCAGGGATGGTAGATATGATAGGGATATAGAACGACGAGTAAATGCAGGGAATAGAGTGAATGGGGCACTACACTCTATTATGAAGAACCAGAATGTGTCAAAACAGGCACGTATGGTAATTCATAATGCTGTGTTAGTCCCTACGTTAATGTATGGTAGTGAAAGCTGGGTGTGGCAGAAGAAGCACGAAAGTAGAATAAATGCTGTAGAAATGCGTTCTTTAAGAAATATGCTAGGGTTTAATCTGAATGACAGGGTGAGAAATTGCGTGATAAGAGATAAATGTGGTATGCAAGATGATGTTGTGACCAGGATTAAGAAAGGAATGCTTCGGTGGTTTGGTCACGTAGAAAGAATGAATGATGAAAGAATGACAAAGCAAATTTATATGGCAGATGTGAACGGCCGAGTCGGGAAGGGACGCCCTAGAAAAAAGTTTGTCGACCAAATTGGCGATATTTTGAAAATGGGCCACGTTAGAAGTACCCTTAACCGACGAGCATGTATGCGTAGATATATGGATGTAAAGGAGGCGAAAGAGGTATGTCAGGATCGTGCCAAATGGAAGTCCGTAATCTCTGCCTACCCCTCTGGGTGACAGGCGTGAGTGTTTATGTATGTATGTATGTTTTGAATAAGTTTTTTGTTTCATAAAAATTCTTTTGTAGCAACCGGTAAAAAAGTTTGTGTGTGAATAAAGATGTTTAAAGCTTAACCCTTTCGCCCTCCTGTGTAGGTACTACATATGAGTCCCTAGATTTCAAAATCAGCCAAGTCCACTTTTGACAGTTGTGGACTATTTTATTGTCTGTGAAAGACGATTCTATTTCAGTTTATCGATTCTATCAAAACCGCTCAAGTCTGTGTAGATTTTAAACAAAATGGCTTTTCTACCATTTATTTCAAACCAAGCCATGTCCATAGTCAACTTTTATCAAAACAATTCAAGTCCTCGTGAACCAATCGGAGCTTGCGTTACTAACAAAATGGCTGCAAGTATCGTCTTGTTTTTTGCGGTGTACTGTGACTGCGTTGGGAATTTTATCAACTTTGTTTAGAAAGTTGAAGATAAAAGATGGATGAAATACCGATTATGCCTCCAGATAAAGCAAGGAAACGAGTGATACCAAAATGCTCAATAAAACGAGAGAAATTAAAGGAAAAACGGTAAGTTTCTGTTGACATATCCCGCCATAACCTGATTGTATCCAGGGCCGTATTAGTGCAGTGCTACCTATCTACTAGTGTTTCTGTTTTTATATTTTCGGCCATTTTTCGATCTTTTGAATTTAATTATAGTTATGTGATATGAATCTTAAAGTGGTAGTAAAAAAATCTTAAACTTACGTGGTAGAGCCATGCTGCAGTTATATACTTGTAGCACGAATGGATCGGCTTGACCGGGGAAGGACCACGTTCTCACAGAATACCAGTGTGAAATGGTAGCTTGATGCTGCTGTGTTTCGTATGGTGAGTGTAGAGAACCGGAGACCCTTTTTACTGGAAATGAGGCATTCCATCTTAGTCATCACGGGTGACAACGCATCTGCATTTTAATTTGTAATCGAAGATAAATGTAGATGTCTATGGGCTACAGCAACCACTTACCACCCTATGCTATAAAAAAAAACTTAAAGTACATAGGCATTAATTTATTCAATTTTTTTATTATTTATTATACCTTTTATTATTGTTTTAACTAGTCCTATTTGCTTTCAGATACTCAGTTACAGGTCTGCCAGTAAAGCCAAGATGTAATCATAAAAAACAGGTATATCAGTGCAATGATCTAACATCAAATGACATGTTTTACTTTCATTCTAATTTTTATCACACTAATAATAAGATTGATAAGGATAATTACATATTACACTATTGTAAAACGTCAAGCTCAAAAAGAAAGAGTCCTAAAGATAATTCCAGAAGCAAGAATATGTCAGTACAATACTTCGTACGAAAGCAAAGTCCAGGGAAAACGTGCAAGTGTACCGACAAGCCTTTCGTGATATTCTTCGGATAAAACCAAATCGTCTTAAAGGGGTGTTGACAAGATACTGGAAGTCTGGCTGTGTAGCCGAAGAAAAACGAGGCGGAAATCGCAAAGAATTTGATTTAGGTCAAGAAAAGACTGTCATAAAATTCATTCAATCTTTTAAGCCCCTCGACCAACATTATACTCGGGGTAAGATTAGACAGCGAATTTACCTTGATTCAAGTCTTAACATCACTACGATGTTCAAGACGTACAATGATCAAGCTGCACCAGGAATGTCAGTAACACATTCATTTTTAAGAAAAGTTTATAATCGTAACTTCAATATTGGATTCGGAACACCCTGAAAAGATGTTTGTTCAACCTGCTTACAACTACATGAACAAATAAAGTTTGAAAAATGTAAAGTTAAGAAACAAAACTGATGATTCAGCTAAAAATCCACAAACTAAGAGCCAAGGCTTTTTTTGATAAACTTAGACAAGAGAAAAACGGCTTGGTCACCATCAGCTTTGTTTGCCAGAAGAATTTACCTTTGCCAAAGTTGGCGGATCAATCTACTTATTACTCTAGGCAATTTTATTTATACATCTTTATAGCACTACTTCACAATCAAAACTTTAAAAGGAAAATGTCATGGCATACATTTGGACTGAAGATGTCACATTTAAATATTCAAATGAAATCTGCAGTGCATTATACCACTGTCTAAATGCAATACATACTGAAAATATAAATACCATTCGATTAATGGCGGACGAATGCGGAGACCAAAATAAAAATTCATTTCTCATTAGCATGGCAAGTAAATGGCTCGGAGAACTATCGAAATTATATTTTCAGTCACTGGTCATTCATTTGTGGCAGCTGACCGTACTTTTGCACTAACAGATACTCAAATACGTAAACTGGAAACAATAGTGGATCCAAACGAATATGAGGTTATAATAGCTGCACACGCAACTGTTCATAAATTAGGTACAGAAGTACCAGTTTATGATTATCGTTCTGCAGTGGAACAAGCCAGTAAGTGGTACTTTCAAATAAGTAAAGTGAAAAGGGTCATTTTGAGAAGAGGAAAAAGAACACGCAACATTTTGGCGAGAGGCGCGATTACGTACCGAAGCGACACAGGGGTACCCAAAAGCATACTACGCCCAACCAAAAGTTTTACACAAATGATTCCGTTCCGTCCCACTGTTGGGCCTTACCTCCCTTCTGAGAGAAGAAGTACCAGTTTATGATTATCGTTCTGCAGTGGAACAAGCCAGTAAGTGGCACTTTCAAATAAGTAAAGTGAAAAGGGTCATTTTGAGAAGAGGAAAAAGAACACGCAACATTTTGGCGAGAGGCGAGATTTCGTACCGAAGCGACACAGGGGTACCCAAAAGCATACTACGCCCAACCAAAAGTTTTACACAAATGATTCTAGAACAAGTTCAGCTAGGAATTGCAGTCAACGAGTTGAAACTAAAAGACGTGAAAAATTTACTTACAAAACATTATGGCTCTGACTGGACTAACATGGAGGAGTTAATATTTTACAAAAAGGTCCGAGCTAGGGATCATAGGTACCTCGAAATCCGAGACAGTGATGAGTGTTGTGAACATGAAATCGAAGAAAAATTAGATTTTGTTTGATATTTCATTTCGTTTCAACGTAATTATCAAACCTCAAACTTAGAAATCAAAATAAGGAACAAAATTACTTTATAATAGAAACTAATATTTTCAATAATTACTATTGAAGTTTTATAGTTAATCTGATAAAGTATTTTTTTTCTCTTTCCTGAATCCGGTATATTCAATCCAATCATTCTTTTTGTTCTTAGGCCTTAGTCCTGCCCCTGTAAGTTATTAAATCAAAGTAAACCAAGTCCAGTACCTCTATTTTTTCAAAGTAAACCAAGTACCACGGATTGGCTTGTTTTGCTAGGAGCAGATTATATCCACTAAAAATTACATTTTAATGTGCTAGCTGATTTATTTACACAGGTGAAATGTTATACAAAGATGGAGTATATATAGTAAGAAACAGTCAAGGAGCAATAATATCGATTTACAGTTAAACAACCTCTTCGGACTTGGCTTATTATGAAATCTAGCGACTCATATAGTTCATTGCTATGCTCTTAATATAGTGTCTGAAGATCAGACAGTGAGTGTTAATTTTCGAGAATGTAAAAACGAGAGTAGTCCTGTAATGGACTGTTAAGAAAATTTTGGATTTGTTATGCTTTTTAGATTGAACATAATATGCCAGTCCTGGGTGCTTTCGCAGAATGGTGTGCATAGCAAAAAGTTGTCTTACGTTGAGCACTGAGCATGTTTGATAGAGGAGGGACGTTAAAAAGAAAAAAGAAGAAATATTGTTTTTAGACTAATACTATTTTATTGTATTCTGTCTGTGATTAATAAATGTAATACAGAAGTAGGTTCATTATATTTCTGCCACAAACTAACACTACCAAACTTAGACTTGCATTTTGCGTGGCCATGTCAGTGTATCTCGCTGTATACGGTTAGATTATATAGGTTAGGTTATATATAAAGGTTGCCTCGTAAGTAAGATATTTGGCATAGTTTCCAAGCTTGACAGACGGGTAAGTTAGTTTATATTTTATTTTCTGGTTGTTATTAAGAAGATGCATCTGCACATCTCCTGTGTTGCTTATGACACTCCTAGGCAATGTTGCCGTTTCAACGAACTTGGCGTTAGATCTGGTGTAATTTCTAGGGTTTATAGCGCTTTTTTTTTAAATAAAAATATCTAGTAGACTAATATTAGATATAATAATAGATATTTTAGCACGTAGCTATTTAAAAAAATCGTTATAGACCCTAGAATTGCACTATATCTAGCGTGAAATGCGCTAAAACGGCAACTCTGCTCACAGGACGATGTGAGATAGTGGCTGTTTTCACACCGCCGCAAAAATATGCGCAATTTTCAATATTAAAACATTTTTAATTTTTTTTTTTTTTTGATAATTTTTACTTTTAATAATTCAAATAAAGGCACCAAAAAAACAGGCACCTGAACGAGGATAAGCCTGTATCTCAGGTATATGTACTAAAAGATACATTCACAAATATTTTCTGTTTCTTATATAAAACGAATAACATACTAACTATAAAGAGTTAAAGAGAAGGAGAACGATCACTGTAGAAAATAGTGTCCCAGAAATATGGACAAAGTAAGTGAGGTACTGCAATCGCTAAGTTCTCACAATAAAAGACATTTTCAGTCTATTTTTCCGATCAAATGCTAAACCACTTGCACATCCACGAACAATAAAATATTTCTCCATATTTTAATGTTTCTTTTGTCAAAAATTAAAATATTGCGGAGCTCGATTATTTTCGCACCAATGCCGCGAAGAAAATTTGTACATTATTCAACTAACTTCCTCTACTTGTACTCATAAACAGCTTACTTCGCAGTCACTACTCACCGACGGTAGCGCCGCTATAAATTCTACAAATTTTCAGGGACAGACAGGCTATGCTTTAGTACGTAGCGATCGTTCTCCTTCTCTCTAACCTCCATGCTATAACGTAAAGACTATAATTAGGGTTATTTCGGTAAAATATATTATCATTAATTTACTTATGATATTAATTAACTTAAAACAATCAACAACTTCTCCGTATCATCGTATGACAAATTTTATAACCATGTTCGAATTACATTTTTACAGTCTGCCATTTCTAATGGATATATGTACAAAATTGCATTGATTTGATTATACAGAAAAGGGCCAAGGAATGTAAAAAATCTTTGCATAGAAGAATGCCTTATTCTAATGTTAGTTTCAATGACTTTATCTTTGCCTCTTTTATCGTATGACCTCTCTTCTATAGAGCAATTTTAAGTGCTGTTTTAGTAATGTACTCATAACGAATAACTGGCGCACTGAAAAGACGTTATAGGATTTATATAAGACACGGGAAGGGAATAGAATAGGGCGGAATGTTGCCTTTTTGGAATCAGAGAGCCAAATTGGAACCTTAATACAGGTCTTTGAGCGCGTTCCAGTGGTAGCAGTGTAGTTTTAGCTGTTCCTCCCCATGAGATTATACAATAAGTGAGAATTGACTGACATAATGCAAAATATACTTGCTTTACTACCTTAATCAGCAAAAGAACGAATCTTTTTAAAAACATTAGTTTACGCATCTTACACAGTTTACAATAAAATAAAACTATCAAAATCTACAATTAGAAATTTAATTATGACATTTTATGATAAATTTCGTATTTATATTTCTTCCTATTTGACAAACCACCATTGAAATATTTTTAATACATGATGAATTTTGAAAATTTATTATTGATGATTTAGAAATGCCGATAAGTTAATTTTTCCTTGGTGTAAAGCAAACAGCGTTTAAATGAGTCTGAGACATCCTCGCATGTTTTGGTTATACTTATATCCAATTCTTAACCCTGAAAACACTCATCCATATTTTTCGTGAATCAACGTCAAAATCAGCGGATTATTTTTAACATCCGGTAGCATTAGGACAAGGTCCTTTATAAGTTAGTTGTTTTTTAATAAAATTGGTTTAAAACAACTAAATACTACATGAAGCAGGATTTATTAGTAATAAATTAAAACCTAAGAATATTTAAAGCTTAAAAAATAGGAAAATGTTTATGTTTATGTTTGTAAAATGATATTTCATCATTTTCTTACACTGCGCTTATCACAGCCTCAAATACTACAACCACCCTTTAAAAATACACTTTTTACTTTTATTTCTATGAAATTCACAATAATACACAAAGTAAAAATTAAAATAATTCACGAAAATAGGAAATATTTTTAACAGTTTAAATTTTGACAGTAGTTCAACATAAAAGAGGAAACAGCAACAAGGGTTGAAAAAATATTGGTGGCTTTTTCATACCCGTTTCATAGTGTATCTATACAGCCTTTTCTTACATCGTTGACAGTGTAGATGAAAAAGATCTGCGATTTCTAACAAAGTCAGAATTCTCATATATAACCCTTCAACACCTATTTGAATATTGATTGTTCATTGTCCATTATAGCTCCGGGCGGGGCGCGGGGCCTTTGTTTTCGTTTCTTGGCGCTTTCTTTTTGTCGGATAAGAGTGGCCGCCCGGGGGGAAAGGCGGGGCCCCTGTGGGGGTGGCCCCCTGGTGCGGCTTTCGTCGAGGGTGGTATAGAAGAATATCGGATAACTTCCAGGCAAATATTAAAATGTTCTGGAAACTCGTAAGAACTACCAGGGGGCATTTAAAACATCCTATAATGAATGCTATAATAGATGAGAATGACAATATTCTGAATGATGAAGTTTTGAGTTTAAAAAGATAGAAGGAATATTTTGAAAGCGTGTTTATGAGTGAGGAGACTGCGTATAAAATAAAAGAAGTAGAAACTCCGAAAGAAGAGGAAAGAGGTAGCGAAATAAGTATAGATGAAATATTGAAAGCAATGAAGAGCATGAAAGTAGGTAAGGCTGCCGGATATGATAGAGTTTCACTCAAAATGCTAAGGGCTGGAGAGGAAGTGGTGGTAGGCCTGCTGCACACCTTGTTTAATTTATGCTGGGAACTGAAGCGAGTACCGATAGACTATATATATTTTTATTTTTTAGGAAAACTGTATACTAAAGTACTGATTGAAAGGGTCATGAAAGAAACTGATGAAAAAAATTTGGGATGTGCAAGCGGGATTTAGAAAGGGAATGGGATGTACAGTCTTTTCCATGCGCATGATCGCGGAGAAGTTTTTGGCCAAAAACCAAAAAGTTTTTTGTGCGTTCATTGACTTGGAAAAAGCCTATGACAGAGTGGAGAGGGATGTGCTATGGCAAACACTGAATTCATTTGGGTTGAACGCTGGCTTGATACAGGCATTGCAGTCGCTTTATGGGGACTCTAGTGCTTGTGTTAGGATCAACTGGGTCTACTCGGACTGGTTTGGCATCCATAAAGGTGTCAGACAGGGCTGTGTGGCTTCCCCGTGGCTGTTCAACCTATTTGACAGTTGTTTGTTTGTGTTAGAAGGAGGTTTTGGAGGATGGCTTGAATGGGCGAAGAACAAGGCCAAACTATATATAGAATAGAACGAGAGTGAATGCAGGAATACAGTTGGGGCTACACTTATTGTGAAGAGTCAAATGTGTCGAAAAAGGCACGTATGGCAATTCCAATGCTGTGTTGGTCCCTACTTTAACGTATGGTAGTGAAAGTTGGGTATGGCAGAAGAAGCACGAGAGTACAATGAACGCAGTAGAAATGCGGTCATTAAGGAGTATGTTAGGGCTGAATCTGAATGACAGGGTAAGAAATTGTGTAATAAGAGAAGAGTGTGGTTTGCAAGATGATGTTGTGACCAGGATAAAGAAAGGAATGCTTCGGTGGTTTGGTCATGTCGAAAGAATGAATGAGGAAAGAGTGACAAAGAAAATTTATGGTGCAGAAGTGAATGGCAGAGTCGGAAAGGGACGTCCTAGGCGAAAATTTATCGATCAAATTGGCGATTTATTGAAAACGATTGATTGATTGATTGATCGATATGATTTATCGAAAAAAAATTAGGAGTACCCTTAACCGACGAGCATGTATGCGTAGGTGTATGGATGTGAAGGAGGCGAGAGAGGTGT